TGTCCAATCGTCCAATCCTGATCAAGTATGTGTGTTCGTAGGCCTGTTCTGGTATTGCTTTATCTGCCAAGACAGACAAACTTGAGAAAAATCGAGTGATTGTACATTTTTTGAAGGTCTCTAACCAACTTGTCTGAAATTCACCGGAGAACAAATGTGGGGTTTAAAAAAAGGTGTCGATATGAGATAAGCGTTTGAGTCGATGGACACCTGAAGATCTGACGGCCGGAGGTATGGTGGATGGGTAAACGGCGGATGGTCGGATGATGACGGGTGGTCCCTGTCTTCTGGTCAAGAAGGACTGCAGCAAAACAGCGAAGGTAATCCTACACAGAAATTCTAGAAATGTAAATCCCATGCATTAGATTTAATTGTGCTTTTTGATGGCTATGCATGCTTACACAAAATGGAGATAGAGATCAAAATTCAAGCTTAAAGCCTTCTGCCGTCAGAACTCCTTTGCCTTTATATGCCGGCTTTTAACAATATGAAAATCGACCTTCATTTCTAAATTTTGTAGGGAGCTTATAAATCACATCTCGTGGTTGTCGAGTGCTGTTTGCTGGTTTCGGAGAGACAACAGGGCCCCCCAGTGCTAACAACACACCAAAACACGCACTGGTGTAGTGCTGAGGAAACGGACAACTTTGGCTGCAAGTTCTCAGCACGCGTGCTGTGGTATCACGAAGGTGCAGGCCAGATCGCTCTTGTGGCAGAGACGAAGAGAGTGAAGGGGCCGAGGTTAGAGGGGCGGGGACAGTCGGAGGAATGATGGGTGCTTGACAGCTGGCACCGACGACCGGAACCTTGGGAGGTAAGGTTGTTATCGGACTAATCTGAACTGGCAGAGGGCAGCCCATGCCAATCCAAATTTCACGCCGGTAATGGTGTAAGCTCTCGATGAAAAGCGGCAGCTCTACGATCAACGGTTTTCACTTCCCCCTTTCCGTCATCTCATAACATCCCTCGCTATCTTATTTCATGGATCTACATTCTACATCTACATACTACCTCTCCTTATGCCAGCTCGTCATAGCTTCGCGCATTTGAATACTTTTTCCTTGAGGTTATTTTTCATTACATGGCATTTTTTCTCACGTAAGGCATAAGCTCGTCAGCAGATCATATGTTCTAAAGGCTGCCTTACACCATCACACCTCTCACAGGACGCCCCTTCCGGACGGAGCTGTGACCGACCGAGTCGACATCCGCCATGATTGGGTCGACGCGGCCACATCCGCCCCCGCCCCCGCCCCCGCCCCCGCCCACTCGCACGTCCGCCCCGACGTCGTCGCGGACCGCTGTTGGTGGGACAGGTCCGGTCGCCTCGCATAGTCGTTCAGGCGCTATGTGAACAATGCTCGCCGTTCGGTCGCTGCCCGTGTTTTTATAGTGACGGCTCTATTGCCGCCTACACGGCTGTTCGATGTTCGGGCCGAAAGTGGCTGCGGTAGCGACCCAGAAGATTGTGGAAGGGCCACGCAACGTGGCGGGTTTTCCAGACAACTTTTGACCCCGCTCCGGGCAGCACGAGAGCGAGTCTTTGACGACCCCACGACTGAGGCGAGTGGAGTTGTTTCTTCAGAGCGCGACTGGGCGGCGGCCTTCTGAAATTAAATTGTGAGCTGGCTTGCCTCAGCTGGGGCTCTGGGGTTCCTTTCCTTCACTGCTCGAGCTGTTCACCCAGCGTGTTGACCATGGCGTTGTTGAGCGTTTTCTCGCCGCTCGCCACCTGACCCCGGCCGTCGGTTGTTTAGGTGGCCCTGATGGTCGGCCGAGGCCCGCAGCGATCGGCACGTTACCCGTGATCAGATTTACCTCGGCACACGTCTAATTGCACGGCGCTCCGTCGGTGCGGCCATTACGGGCTAAATCGGCCGTTAGTGGCCGTTAGCCGTCGTTAATCGCCGTTAGTCGTCTTCGACTCTCGCACTCGAGAGGTCTTGCCCCGCCCGGCCCAAACTCACAGAGTTGAGTCAGGAGTCATTCAGGAATAGAAATCGGCGTTAAGCAGTGGAATGCGCAGCTAAATCGGGGTAAACTAGAAAACATTGACATAAACATTGAACTTATGGTGGTGTGGTTACGAAAATGATGTAGAACGGGTGTCAAATACTTATTCTTCGATGTGTTTCATCACAAAACTGCTGTCTCCCAAACAGCCGCCTCCACCAAATGTTTGTCGTCGGACGGTCCAATGGAGAGCTCCAGTCGGCAATTCCAGGTCTCCGCTGTGAATAAATGACGCCATTTGGAGCGGGGGCGTGTATCCACGCTGCGGCGCTGTCGGCGCGGCGTGCAGGCGGTCCGCCGGGACCGGCCGCGCCGACAGGCACTGTCGGCATGCGGCGCCGGCATTCCGCCACGACTGCCCGTGTTGCACAACGCTCCTGGCACGGGACGGCGGGATAAGTGCGCGCGGCAGAAAAGGGCTGTAATACCTGTAATAAAGCAGCGATTAGCTGACCTAATGGCCGCCCTGTCACGACATCAGAACAATTATTTGCAGGTAAGCTGTGCTGCCCCCCGCCGTTGCGGGTGAACGCCGCTGCGATTGCGGTTGTTTGTCAAAGCCCGGGCGTGCTCGATCGCTGCTCCCCGCTGAGGAGAGGCGCCGGACCCGGAGCTGGACCGATCCGGACCGGGTCGGCCGAGGGGCGTCGGTCGGCCGCCGCCCTTCGTGAGTCAGCGGCTCCGGGCGACGTCCCCCTCTCCGACCAACCCGTGTCACATCCGTGACCGTGCCGATCCGGCTATTTATTATTGACCGCGGCTATCTGTCGGGCTGGATCGGTCACGGTGACCGTCGGGGGAACGTCGGCGCGTGGTCGGCGCCCATCGATTCACGGCTAGACCGTGACGGTGCCGGCGCCACGGTGACCCCCGACCCTGCCGGGCCGCCGGCGGGGTCACCGAGCGGGTCCCGGTGACCGCGCGGCCCGGCTCTGTCATTTGTCGCCAGATCGACAGTCATCGGGGATGACAGTCCAAATGGGTCATGGGCGCCGCAGGCCTGTCTCCCCGGCGACCCGGCCTGGAATGTGCCGCATCAAGGCGTGGCCCCGCCGTCCCCAAGAGCCCTCGACAGATGGAGACTCCATCAGCAGTTCTGGTCGTCACCTTCGCCCGACAGTCTATCGCGCCGCCGCTGTGACACTATTTTAATCATGAAAATTGCAAATAATGAGTCACTTTATCAAGAGCTTGTCAGCGAAACAAGCGGCATTACTTTCATGGCTTATTATTAGCCCGATTACGGTATGACAGCCGCAAATGGCACCGACGAAGGGACGGAGATAAGTGTTGGGAAACACACCTCAGAGAGACAAGGGTGCGATTCAGTCACAGGCAGTCACGCTACCAGGTGCTCACTCAAACTCTCCAGAGCCCAATCTTGTGTAGCGCCGTGCATGCTCGCACCAAGTGTGAATCATTACTTCCTCGTCTGCCGCACGACTGTCTGGCAATGATAACGTCTTCCTGCTCAATTGAAGGTGCTGAATTAACCACACATTCACCTCTTGTCTAACAATTAAATGCGCATCCCTAAATCCATAAATGATAAAATAACGTTGTACGCTGTAAAATAGCTGTGTAAATGATTGAAAACTTTTTGTATTGAAAAATGAACCTTTTTGCTACTGTTCAGCCAACACCGCAATATTTACACATGCTTTGAAATCAGCAAGCAGCCTCGAAAGTGTTAGTGTCCCTTTTCATTGACCAATGACGCATCATGCAATTGTTGCAACTCGCCCTACGGCCTACATCCTGGCATTGCCATCCGTCCGCCCAACTGCACCCCGGCTGAAATCATTGCGTCACCTTCCGATATTGCTTCACTGCACACTCTTCTGGACACAGCTCCTTCCGGGTCCTCTACCCCTGCCCTTCCCATGGCCCCGCGCGCGCCTGCCGCATTCCGCAGACGAGGTGTCTCTGGCCAAATCGGGCTCGTCGGACGGCTGCACGCGCCCCTAAATCCGCCGGCTGTCCGGACGGCGCGTCCGACGATCCGACGATGTTTTACGACGCACTCTGCGGCGGCGGCGACGATGGTGGCGCGGCATTCGCCATGTGGCGTTTATGAGTGCGGAGACACTCGCGGCGCAGCGTTTTCCATGCGCCAGTCTGTGGCGATGCGACTGCGCGGCAAGCTCTGGCGCGGGATGCGATTGTGGCGCAGCAGTGATGGACGGTGCGCCATTCTGTGTCAAGGTCATGCTGCTGTCCTGGTCAGTTACTCTCGAAGGGGCACTTCCTATTGCATGTTTGGGGCGACAGTCTGGACAGGGGAAGAATGAGATTTGTAGCAGCATGCACGCAACCAAATCGCCATGAATGACGATGCACAGATCTGAATAAAAAGTAGTCAATCGCAGCCTGCAAGGCAAAGACCTTGTTGCTGAATATTTATTTCTCGCTTGATGATGACGGTGGAAAGGCGCAACGGCAGAAATCAGAATCATCAGCGATATCTCGTAGCGATTGCCTACGCCCTCCCAGTTCTGATGCCCATGAACCCCGCTGTGGAAGGGCAGCTTCTGAAGATGCATCCGAGGTTGACTTGCGTTTCTGGGTGGTGGCGTTGGTAATTTATGCGCTATTGTGAGGCACTTTGTCGACCGCCCACACGCACCAAATGCGGCAGCTGAGGCGACCGTTTTGTCGATTGATTTGGTGCGACATGTCAGACAAGCAGAGGGTGGACGCGGTCGTTCATCATATCTGAATAGCAAATCTCGTGTGTATGTATTCCAGAACAACTGCGACACTACACTGGTAAACGTTGACAGACATACGGACTGGCTCTTTACAACTCAGAAGACTAGTAAAACACATTCACAACTACTTGCGCAGTCACGTCTCTCCTCATTTGGCACCGTCCTCGCTTCTCCCACCTGATCACGTCACCAGGTTTTGACAATTCCTAGACCCTCGCTCCCTCCCATCTGCCTCCCCACGGCACCTCTCTGACCCCTGTGTTCCTCCTGTTTCAGCGGCCAGTTCGCCGTGGTGCGCCGCTGTCGGGAGAAGTCGTCTGCCACCGAGTTCGCCGCCAAGTTCATTAGGAAGCGTCGCGTGGCCTCGTCGAGACGCGGCCAGCCGATGGCAGATATCGAACAGGAGGTGGACCTGCTGATGCAGATGGCGCACCAGAACGTCATCAGTCTGCACGACGTCTTCGACAACGACGTCTACGTCATCCTCGTCCTCGAGCTGTGAGTACCTGCGAAGGGGAAATGGGATTTTATTAGGTTTGTTTTAACCAGGCGAAGGTAATGATCTAGTGGACCTGGTTGAATTAAAGCTTCATTCATTCATTCACATCTAAACACAACACACCATTGAGACAGCCGGTTTCCCAGCAAGGACCAAAAATAATGGATTCGGTCAGATGTTGACCTCACCGCTTCCGATAGCGTGCACTGCCCGCGACTTTTAAGGTAACAACATCGGATTCAGCCTGCGGTCAGCAATGCGCAGTCGTAGTCAGATTCGGGACGTGAATGAAATCAGCATAAATTCCACCAACTAAGTGCAAGTTGCGTCTGGACAGGACAGCTCGGGCCCTGAATGTCTCGGTGGCCATCACCACTGCAGGCCACCGGGTCTGCCAGGGGCTTAGCGCGCGGTCCGTTTGAAGGATGTCTGAGCCGGGCGGCGCCGGGCGCTGCGTCACGACCTCGGCCGACCTGTGGCGGCGGGGCGTCTGATGGTCGCTCCGTACCGGCACAGGGGCGAGTGATACCCATTCTTCCCCAGTGATATCGGGGTCGGGGAGTGGCAGAATCCTAGTCGGCGCTGAGAAACGCCCATTCTTTCCCTGTGGGATCATGACTTAGGAGCAGCGGTACGGCCCCGATTTGCTGACATGGCAAATTTGCAAGCCATTGCAAGCGTGTGCTTATTTTAGAGTCATTTTACCCATGTCGTAGCGCATTCCAGCAGGGTTCGGATATCTAAACAAATATTTCGATGACTTGGCGCTGTCTCTGCCGTCGTCGCCGCCCATCGATTTCTCGCGTCCGCTCCCCGGCCAATCATCCAGTTTCAACTCATAGCGGCGACGCGGCTATGGAAGGTTAGGACCCTGCCAGGGCGCCACCGAACGTGACCGTGGCTAATCGCCCCATCGACAGACGCAGGGCAGCCCTCGGAGGGGTGTCTGGGAGGGCGCGGGCCGCGGGACCGCCGGACCGTCGACTGGAGTGGCACGAACGGCAGTCGTCGACGGCGACGGGCGGCGAAAGGGTCGTAGAGTGAGCGAGAAGTTTCTAGAGCATCGGAAGAGTGTAGCGTAACTGTAGGAAGTGTCTCAGTGATCACCACAGTTCGTCCACAAGGCAAAGTCAGAAGTCTCAAGAAAGAAAAAAGTTCACCGACGGTGGGCACGTGACGGCCGCCCGTACCCAGGGCAGCGTCCAGCGGCCAGGTCCGGCCAGCCAGCGCTCGTTCCGCTGCACCACTACATTTCACTACAGTGACAGAGCGGAGACCGCAACTGCTGCAGAGGATTGCGGGTCCGGCACACTAACGCCGACCCGGCAGGTGAGGAGTATCGAGCACGTTACGGGTGGCACATACCACAGCGGGGAGTGGTTGGCATGGCAATACGGCGGTATCACGGAATCATACCGACGCGCGCCTATTCCGAGGTGTACTCAGCGAGCGCAGCCGTTTACGTAATCGTGCAGGGAGACGCGTAACACGGTATGCCCGTCATGCAGGGCCGTGCTATATGGTACCGTCACGCGCACTATGCGTGCTTGGTCTGCGCTGACTCCGCGGACAACCTACCGTCGTGGCAAAGTAGCCCTACTACACGCAGCACTCAACGGCTGCCAGCGCACCGCGCCATCTAGCACCACGGCTTCCGTGCTAGGCTCGGCCCCGGCGGACATTAGGTCCGCCGCCGACGCCTCGGCCCTCTGCAACTCAGGCACATATATCGGTCCGCCGCCGACGCATCGGCTACTCTGCAACACGATACATCAGGTCCGCCGCCGACGCCTCGGCCCCTCCGCAACACGGCAAGAACATGTACCGGGTCCGCCGCCGACGCCTCGGACCCTCTGCAATGCGGTAATAACTCATACCAACACGGTAAGAACACACAACGGGTCCGCCGCCGACGCCTCGGCCACACTGCATCTCATCCTCATACATCGGTCCGCCGCCGACGCCTCGGCCATTCTGCAACACGGAATGCACATACATCGGTCCGCCGCCGACGCCTCGGCCATTCTGCAACACGGAATGCACGTACATCGGTCCGCCGCCGACGCCTCGGCCATTCTGCCACACAGAATGCACTTACATCGGTCCGCCGCCGACGCCTCGGCCATTCTGCAACTCAGGCACTTACATCGGTCCGCCGCCGACGCCTCGGCCCTCTGCAGCACGGTAATGACTCATACCAACACGGTAAGAACACACAACGGGTCCGCCGCCGACGCCTCGGCCACACTGCATCTCATCCACATACATCGGTCCGCCGCCGACGCCTCGGCCACTCTGCAACTCAGGCACATACATCGGTCCGCCGCCGACGCCTCGGCCCCTCTGCAACACGGTAATAACTCATACTAACACTGCATACTGCATCTCATCCACATACATCGGTCCGCCGCCGACGCCTCGGCCATTCTGCAACACAGAATGCACATACATCGGTCCGCCGCCGACGCCTCGGCCCTCTGCAACGCAAGCACATACATCGGTCCGCCGCCGACGCCTCGGCCCTCTGCAACACGGTAATAACTCATACCAACACGGTAAGAACACATAACGGGTCCACCGCCGGAACCTCGGCCACACTGCATCTCATCCACATACATCGGTCCGCCGCCGACGCCTCGGCCATCTGCATCCCAGGTAATAACTGATACTAACACTACATACTGCATCTCATCCACATGCATCGGTCCGCCGCCGACGCCTCGGCCATTCTGCAACACGGAATGCACGTACATCGGTCCGCCGCCGACGCCTCGGCCATTCTGCTACACAGAATGCACATACATCGGTCCGCCGCCGACGCCTCGGCCATTCTGCAACACGGAATGCACATACATCGGTCCGCCGCCGACGCCTCGGCCATTCTGCAACACGGAATGCACATACATCGGTCCGCCGCCGACGCCTCGGCCATCTGCAACCCAGGTAATAACTCATACTAACACTACATACTGCATCTCATCCACATACATCGGTCCGCCGCCGACGCCTCGGCCATTCTGCAACACAGAATGCACATACATCGGTCCGCCGCCGACGCCTCGGCCCTCTGCAACGCAAGCACATACATCGGTCCGCCGCCGACGCCTCGGCCCTCTGCAACACGGTAATAACTCATACCAACACGGTAAGAACACATAACGGGTCCACCGCCGGAACCTCGGCCACACTGCATCTCATCCACATACATCGGTCCGCCGCCGACGCCTCGGTCATTCTGCAACACGGAACGCACATACATCGGTCCGCCGCCGACGCCTCGGCCATCTGCAACCCAGGTAATAACTCAGACTAACACTACATACTGCATCTCATCCACATGCATCGGTCCGCCGCCGACGCCTCGGCCATTCTGCAACACGGAATGCACATACATCGGTCCGCCGCCGACGCCTCGGCCCTCTGCAACACGGTAATAACTCATACTAACACTGCATATTGCATCTCATCCACATACATCGGTCCGCCGCCGACGCCTCGGCCATTCCGCAACACGGAATGCACATACATCGGTCCGCCGCCGACGCCTCGGCCATTCTGCAACACGGAATGCACATACATCGGTCCGCCGCCGACGCCTCGGCCATTCTGCAACACGAAATGCACATACATCGGTCCGCCGCCGACGCCTCGGCCATTCTGCAACACAGAATGCACATACATCGGTCCGCTGCCGACGCTTCGGCCCTCTGCAACACGGATTAACTCATACCAACACGGTAAGAACACATAACGGGTCCGCCGCCGACGCCTCGGCCACACTGCATCTCATCCACATACATCGGTCCGCCGCCGACGCCTCGGTCATTCTGCAACACGGAATGCACATACATCAGTCCGCCGCCGACGTCCCGGCCCTCTGCAACACGGCAATAATTCATACCTGGTCCGCCGCCAACGCCTCGGCAATACCGACTCCCGGGTAAAACGCCCCACGGCCTGGGCCAAGTAGCCCCTTACTCTAGACTAAAGATTTAACGTGGTAGTTTGCTAAATGTTATATGAGAGGTCCGTTAGACCTCGGGAGGCACGGCACTGAAATTAGCACATTCCATCCTATCAGGTGTGCAGCTATGACACTATTGTATGAGCAGGTTTCTCACCTGCCTCATAAGGCCAATTAATGAATTATTGCAATGCTTATGTTAACAAAATACTTCTTTTGCCTTCCAGTCGCTGAGAAAAATGCATACAAAGGCATAGAAACTTACTGTTCGCCAGCTACCAAACATTAGGAAAGGGGGTAGTCCGAACAGCACATGCGGTAAAACGCCCGATGGGGTTTTTGCCCCGCGACGTACTGGGGCGTTTTTATCCCATCACGTAATTCGGTCAGAAAACAGCGCCATGCGCTCTAGCAAGACATAATTTAACACGAATTAACCCGGCATTATAAGCGTTAGACAATAGTTGTTCAGAATACATAAAGTCGTTAACCTGACGTGGACCATAAAAGAACGCCACGATGCATCATCAGACAACAAAACATCAAAATTAAAAAAAAACATCTTTGGCTACATCTCCCTCAAGAGTTATCACAATTTCCTTCCAGTCGGCGCATATAACGATCATATAGTGCACGTTTTATAGAAGAGAGGATGGTTTCCCCAGAACCTTGCCAGTTCGGAGAACATCGGCGAGGCGTCTTACCCCGGCCGGGCGACTTGCTCCGGTCTACACTATCTCAGCAATTTGATACTTTACATCTGCTCCGCCGCCGACGCCTCGGCCACTGTTCAACTTGGCATGTACACATGACCCGTAGCCGACGCCTCGGTAGGGGAAAGTGGGGTAAGACGGTCAGGGTAGGTAAGACGGGCACCCCTTCTGCAGACCAAACCAATAGCGCTACGAGCAAGAAAAGTTAGGACCAGAATTGCCTTTCCCACTACACACCACCATTCAAGTCTGGTGAATTTGTGTTCAGTCGATAATCTTTTATTTTGATTTCTTTAAAACACTCATTTCATTGAAAACATCC